CTTGCCAGATTTCCAATTGGAAATTATGAGCAAGGAAGATGCCGAGGCAAAATGTTTCTCTACAAGAAATGTTGAGTATAGTTTTAACCCCACAACAGAGCCCTTGATTGTCGCCAAACATAGGAGATGTATTAGCATATTATTTGAGCACAGCCTCAGCTCCAAAATGGAAAGAAACTTGGTAAATGGTGAGACAAAAAGATAATGCAATGTAGAATGGGGAATAACCAAAAGGTACACAACTACAAAAATCTTCAACAGGAGGTACAGAAAGTTGGTAAAGTTTGCACCAGTTTTTCTCACGTTCTCTATTCTGATCCAGTATTTTATGTGGTTGTCAGGATCTAGGTCTGTTTAAAGTTAAGGGTGAACATGCAACAGAGGCATTTAACTCATTTCCTATAATCACTCATCTCAGTCTGTACAGCAGCAAAGGCTTCCAGGCCATGAAGAACATAGTTCTGGTTTTTTTTTAAATTTGACACAGGGATGGTGCAGGGAAAATTTCCTTTAAGAAAATTGATTAGTTTAGCAATATTTTAAAGACCAAAGCCTCAAAATTTAACAAACAAGTTCCATCACTGACTGCAGTTTGGTTCCATCGCTCACTTCTGATTATTATTAGCTGACTCACAACTGGCCACATCAAACTTGCACTCCTTTTTGCTAATCTTTCACATATTGGTCACCTCTAAAGTGCCAAGAAAACACATCTTTTGGTTTTACAAAGGACTGATCTAAATAAATCTCCAAGATGAGAACACTTTTCCCGTAGTTACAATGAGAGTTGTGGACTTAACAATCACCTCAAGGAAGTCAGATTGTGTTGGGAAGGTCCTATTGTGCTGAAATAGCGAACAGCATTCATAATCATAAAAGGTGGCAAAACAGACCCAGGCAACAACAGATTTGAGAGGCGTAACTTTAATCCCAAAACCAAATAAGTTTGAGTCAGGTAGGATGCCAACATATTTTAAATCTCAACCTGCCCTCTCTTGTTTTAACAAAGTTGGCACTGAGTTGGTGTTGGTGGCTTTGGGGAGATATGTTTGAGCAAATACCCCACTTCCAGGAAGGAGCTCACGTAAATATCTTACATACCACAGGTTTTATCTCTCTTCCTGCATTAACATTGGCCAGCCAAGATTCCAAAGTCTTAGAAAATCAGGTTGGTCAAGGGAGGCACGGACTGTGGTGTGGAAGAGGTAAGTGGCTCTGGAATCATCAGTCAAAGCCCCTGTAATCATTGTCAACACTAAGTCATGATACTGCTCTGTTCCTTCCCAACACCATCCCAGTGCTCACCCCTCATTTTCTAAACCACACTATATCTCAAACAGCAGGGAATTTACCTATAGTGCAACCACTGCGATAGTATTCTCCATCTGCTAAGGATTCAAGGCCTGTCAACCAAGCTGCCTGTGGAGTGGGGAGCCTGTTAAACATAGAACAAGCACACTGTGGAGCATTCAGGAAAATCTGCATTTCCTGAACTCCTCCTCCTCATTCCCCAGTTTGGAAATCCCACCTCAGAAATATGTTCCACATGGCCACAGGATTAAGCCAATGAAAAGCAATTTTGGGTCTCATCTAGTCAATTCTATTCATGCAAAGTATGATGATAGCATTTTACAAACAAAATTTATTGTAGCAATTTAAGAGAGATCCAGATCCATTGGTGGTTAACTTGGTGTGGGTTGGGCGGGGATGATTATCAACTTGTGAAAACAATAAATGATCACTTGATGGTATGTCCAAACAGTCTTGTCCAATTTCCTCGTTGGAAAGCATTTTGAGAATAGGCCTCAAATTTTATATGAAGTGTTCAGAGGTAGTTCACTGGGCAGAAGGCCCCTCCAAACCTTTGAACAAAAACTAACAAACTAATGGGGGAAGGAGTCAATCATTGGAAGTGGAGGGATCTGTAACATAGACAGGCAGAAACTAGGGAACAACAACTTAATGGACCCAGCAGGAGTATTTCTACTCCATCACAAGCACCTTAAAATTGCACTAGGATCCTATGTATAGCATATTATATAAACACTCCCTCACAAAATAGGTGGGTTGTTGGTTTGTGTTGGTGAAGGACAGTAAAGCTGATCCGGACTTGAAACAGGGCAGTCAGTGGTGTTCCATGACTTTCAGACTCCTCCTGGTCTCTTATTAGCAGGTACAACCTCTTACAAACACCCCCAAAAGTTTTTATCTTACGACCTTGTCACAAAATGTCACAGCCCTGTATACTGATAATCAAAGAGTGTGAAATGTGAGTAATTGTTTATTTTCCAGGAATTCCAGTCTTTTAAATTCCATTCCTTTTAAATCTAACAGCTATCTTCTTCTCATGGTTTACGTTAATCGTGATGGAGAAGTTAACAGATGGCCCAATATTCCCGTATTTCACATATTATTATAATGCAGTATTATAATATCAGCAGCCAACAGATGAAGAAATTTTTGCATGGAAACTTGTTCTTAATTGAAATTCCTCTGCAGACTTTGCCTTTTAACTTTAATTCAAAAATGAACCCAGGCCCAGGGAAGCCGGGGAAGGGAAGAATTGTCTAATGAGGAGATTTATTTTAACTCATTAACCGGAACGTATCACCATGATGTCACTTGTTATAGCCCACATCCGCTATGCACAGCTGCTATCTGGTGTCTCCCCAGATCCAAACATTGCTGTGGGAATGATGCCAAATGGCATGTCTATACATTGAGTGAGATAAACAGCAAGCTCCTAAGGGGGGGCAATGACCCATATATCAATGTGTATAGGTGTTGTGACTTAAATCCATGTTCTGCAGCTACGTCAAAGCTCCCTTTTTTCTGTATTTTAAAGACTTCATGCCTACAGCTAAGAAAAATAAATACTCCATTTTGCACAGAAGGCATATTCAGGTATTTAATTATGGCATACAAACTATACTCTGGTTGAGAAATGTGTGAGGGAACAAAATCACATTTCTCTCATCAGTATTTTTCTTGACAGTACAGAAACAATGAACACTTCTTCAAGAGCAACTCATCTCAAAAGCAGTATAAATAATTTCTTTGAATAAAGATTTTTCAAATTTGTTCAAAACATTGATGATTTAAAGTGTTAAAACTTTGTATGGATTATAAAACATCACTGGATGCCACTGATTTTGAGAATACACGGCTGAAGACTTTAATTGTAAACATTGTTCTTGAGCTTGAATCATCTACTTTTCATATTGCATGGATTGCAACACATTCACAGACAAGGGACGTGGTGTAGTGGTATTGTCACTGGACTAGTAATCCAGAACTATAGGCCAACTGCAGATAAGGAGGGCCAAATAGCCTCCTTCTGCAATGCAGCATTTCTGTAATTTCACAGCTTGTTTGAGGAAAAGGTCCCCCTGGGTGACACTGAGGAGCATAGGTTCAAATCTGACTGTGGCAGATGGTGAAAATTTGAATTCAAGAAAACCTGGAATTTGGGAAGGGGAAGGGGGAAAGCTGGCAATGTAACCACTGCTAATTGTCTTTAAAACCCTTCACGTTCACTAATGCTCTTTAGGGAGTGAATCCTCCAACCTCACCTATTCTGCCTCACACGTGACTCCAGACTCCATTGCAATTTGGATTATACTTAACTGCCTTCTGAAATGGCTGGGATGGGTAACTAATGTCAGCCTGTGAATCAAGAACCAAGATTTTAAAAAAGGTAGTTGGTTTGCTTGATGATGTTTTAATGTTCAAGGTACTTAAGGGAACAGACAAACTGAACCTTGGCAACATGTTCATGTTGTTACAAGCTGTAGAATTAGGGGACAAATCTCAAGCTTAGAAAGGGACTGAGACACAGACCGTTAAGATTGCATGCTTTGTAAAGAAGAGAGCTGTGGCTGTGAAATAGAATACCAAGGGAGGCAGAGACAACAGATAGTGTTGGGAATTTTAAAAGGAGATATTCTTAGGTACAGAAATTAAACAGTATTGTACATTCTTTTCTCATCTAGTGCTTTATGATGTTTCAATGATTTCCAACAGCATTTTAAACTCTCCATGTGAATATTTTCAAAAACTGAATGCACAATTTATGGGGAAAATAATGAAGAAGGATAATATGGTCTCACGTGCAAGACAGTATATGTGAAATAACTAGGAATGGTACACCCTCAGTATGGAAACTGAGTTGGAAGATGGCAAATCAGGAACAACCAGATTTCTTCTTTCATGTGAAGCATCTCTTTTTTTTCACAGCACCAGGGACTCAAGCTCGATTCCAGCCTTGTGCATCTGTCTGTGTGGAGTTTGCACATTTTCCCAAAGAGTGCATAGGTTTCTATCAGGTGCTCCACTTCCCTCTCATAGTCCAAACATGTGCAGATTAGGTGGATTGGCCATGTTAAATTTTCCCATAATGTCCAGAGATGTGCGAGCTAGGTGGATCATCCATGTAACGTGCGGGGTTACAGGGATAGGGTGGGGGCCTGGGACTGGGTGGGATGCTTTTTAGAGGGTCGGTGCAGACTCAATAGGCCAAATGGCCTCTTTCCTCACTGTTGGGATTCTATGAATAACTCTGTGATTGTGCAAAATGCCTCAGGACTTGATGCTGTCCTCATATCTGGGACACTCCACACTCCTAGACAAATACACACAAAAATAAAAATGCTTTGTTGGGTTGATCATTCTTTCTCACCTCTTTCTTGCTCACAATCTTTCCTGTCTCTCGATATGAACAATGCCACTATGGTCTGTGCACCTCTGACATATCTCAGACAAACTTCTGAAGCTCCAAATATGTCATCCCTTGTGAGTAACTATTTCTGTCTCTTTCTCCTAAAATCAAGTTTCTCAAAAACCAACTCCTACTCTAGATTATTCACCCCAGGGCCTCCTAAGTGTAGAACAGAATAGAAATATGTAACATTCCTTATCTCTCTTCTACCTACATGCTTTCAAAGCCCAAGCTTTGCATTACCTACCCAGAACTTCTCGATTTATCTTAATGTTACTCTTACCTCTTACTGTCATGGTGGTTTCAATCATTCTTCACACTTCCTTCAAACCAACAGCTTTAATGCACAAAACAGATGGGGAAATTAAGTACTCAAGAAACTAAATTCCCAATGGACAAGAGATGAGGAGAAAATGAATTGAGTACAGCAATTCTTATGCACAAAAGACAAAGAGATGATGAATTTACAACAGAAAGAAAATAAATTGGGGGGTGCTCCAACTTTAGTACACAATAGGTAAGTGAATAGTGAAAATACAGTAACGATAAATAAAACAGGCAAAGATAGCTAACATGGGGTGAAACCTTGTTTTTGCAGAGAAAATAATAGAAAAATTATGAATTGGACATATTACAGTTCTAATGCAATGAATCATAAAGAAACATTGTTGCAAAACAAATGCCAGCCAAGGCTGCAGTATGATTTGCCCAATAAATATGTAGAAAGAGATGTCTTGCTGTTAAAATTATTTAATGCTAATGATACTCACTATAGAGATATGCAGAACAACAGAAATTGTTAGGCGTGCATTATTTATTTTACTTTCACACTGCCTATGCTTCTTGTAAATCACAGAATCAGTGTCTAGGACAAAGGGCAGAGGTCAGTCATGTGAACACAGAAGTGCCTACATTTCTGAAAATGACCTCCACTGTGCAAACTTAAATAATCACATAATGGACCAGGCAGTCAGGTAGGCCCATAGATCAAGTAAACATAAATTACAGGGTTACTGTGAGGTGCTGGAGCTTCAAAATCCCAAAAGGCATAATGAGTGTTTCAATGTAAACCCCATCATATTCAACTGACAAAATTAATGTCTACTTTTTTTGTAAATCATTATCTCCAGAACAGTATAAAATTTACACTTTCAACATGTCTGTAGAGGGCATTCAGTGGATAAATATTGAATATAAGTTACACGACAAAGCCTCAGGTCATAAAAACTAGGCCACAAGATACTTCATACCAAATCACCTCCTCTAGCTCTACACTTCTCTTCACTTCATGGGCTCATTCAATTTCTATCCTCTTGAGCATTTCCAGTTTTTATCGCTTCACTACTGATGGCCCGGCCTTCTAGTGCCAAGACCCTAAGACCTTGGAATTTGCTCCCTAAACCTCTCAGCCTCTCTTTCCTCCTTTAGTACCTTACTTTAAATGTACCTCCTTCATCAAATTTTTGATCATGTGTACTTATGCCTTGATGTGGCTCAGTGTTACATTTTGGTTAGCAATGCTCCTCTGAAGCACCATGGGCATTTTTTTGCTGTAAAAGGTGCTACACAAATGCAAGCAATTGTTGATGGCAATATGTTTGAACCATAAGTCATCTGCACTTTTTAAAGGGCTTTCCAATAATAAACAATATTAAAACTAACAATTTTAACTATGTTTATGTAGTGGTCATTCCTCTCTGAACTTCAGAAATAATTTTCACCTTTCACTTCTTGCTGACATTAACCTGTTCTGGCGTATTGTCTCACAAATATTGATTGTCCTCCAACACTTTAGTAAAGCGGCTACTCTTCAAGTGTGTCTCACTCTGTGCTCACACGCATCCAGAAATTTGCATTGTAGTTTCCTGCACTGCTATTCAACAAACACCTGAGTGCTTCCTGGTCCTTCTGACTCAGCTCCATATTCAAGTGGGACCTTTTCTCAATAAAGCTATGAAATCACAGAATCCCAGGAATGATACATTGCAGAAAGAGGCCATTTGGCCCTTCTTATCTGTACTTAACGCCTGAGCATTTTAACTTAGAGCCAATCCCCAATAAACTTGAACAGGGTTTCTAATTAAATAATCATCTGATGACCTCTTGAATGACCCTGCCTCCATCATACTTCCAGGTAGTGCATTCCAGTCCCTAACTACTTGCAGTGTGAAAAAGTTTCCTCTCACCTCGCATTTGAAATAATAGGGTGGGAATTACCATATCCTAAAAACACATTTTTCAGTTTGAGTACACCCTTGTTCTAGTCCCTCTGAAATAAGGTTTGCCCAAGTTCCTAGCTTAATACAGTTAAGAAGCAAAACAATCCAGTGCATTTGACAATAGGTGGCTAGCAGCAGAATCAGTAGAATGCCTCCCACATTTGAGACCTGAAGGCTGCTTGAAATTCAGGCTAGTCTGCAACTGCTGAAAGAGAGTCATTAGTTTGCCACCGAGTTACTGGACCATTAGATGAAGGGCTACGCTGCAGGGTGGAACTCAACACGTCTCAATACACCCCTACAAGAGCACCTGCTGTCAACCAATCATGCAACACCAAGTGACCGCAGAGATGTCCCTATCTGAGATCATGCTACCCTCCTCCCAAAGACAGCTCTGTAGAATGTATCATGTGGAGCAGACAATGGATCACAAATGTGCCTTATTTAATACATTTGGAAATTATACAACAGAATCGTGTTAACCTGTGAAGCAATTGTATTGCCAGCAAGGTTTAAGAGGTTAATATCTTTTAAGCCACATGCTAAATGAAGTCTATGAAGAGTATGGTAAGTGCATATGTACTTTTGTGTGAGTTCTTAATTAAGTTACTAAAGCAGAAAGGTCACTTGCCCCACACAGTAATTCCACAGCTTTTGCTGTCATCTTGTCAGCCTGCTCCATGTATTACTTTAATTAGGAGGAAAGATACAGCCGACCCATTTCCCTTAACATCAGGACTTTACCTTAAATGTCACACTTTCCAGGATTTCTATTCTACAGCCCTTTACTAATGGAGCTGCACCCTTTGCTCAACGACTCTGACACATTACTAATGTACATGCTCAAAAGCCATTAGAAGAAAAATAGGAGAAAAGGAAAGGGTTTGTACCTCTTAATTAGGCACTACAGGAAAGTATTTCAAGCTCTGACCCATCACACAAGACAAGCCATTCTAAACTGCAGTTTTAAATACTGTCGCTGTGGAAACCATACCATAGTACTTTACCTATATTAACGAGATTGCACTAAATAAGTGCAATTTCATGCAGTTAAGTTTGTGCACAAGAACAGTTCTGCTGCATTTTAAATTGTGGGTACCGGTTTGTGAATATATTACCTTAGTCTCACACTGGAACAGATTGACTTGTTCCAATGCAGCCACCACAGACCATTTGAACGGCTGGCGAGAAGGAATATTGCAATCATTACTGAGCTGGGTTCTAGCCGGACAGAAGCAGGTTAACATGTCTAGTTCAGTGGGGCTAGCAGATTTCTCAACTCAAACCACTTCAAGCAATCAAATTCAGGAAGAAAACAACCCCGCGTGCAATAGGGAGAATTTAACAACGCATTTCTTCGTTAACACAGTCAACCCTTGCTGACCTACATGAAGAGATTTGTTCAAAGCCTGTGTCACAACTGAAATGTAGAATGCACTTTGTAGCAATAAAATCCAACTGTAATCCAAATAAGTTAATATTCAGATTTTTGGAGGGAAAACTGGCACTCTTTCGGATGCATATATGTGTTCCGTACAGTTTAAACTAATGCACAAATCAGGTCCTGACAACCTCGCTATAAGGGGAAAGGCAAGACATCCTAAATTAAGGTTCCAAACCACATTGTTTGCATCAATATCTGGTCTTTACCGTCTGTTTGCAAAATATTAATCGATCAGCTTTTTCTTTTTAAGGGATGGGGGATGGGGGATGGGGGGGGGGCTGGTTAAGTGATCACCTAACCCTTGATCACAGCAGGCTGTAAAGTAGGTATTTGAGGTAGCAGCGGGGACATATTGCAAGCAGGAGCGCCGTAAGTTAAGCAGCTATGCATTTCATCAGTACACAACTGTTACCGTTTTGAGAATGGCAATAAACACAAACACACACATACACAATTAGTCCTCGTCAACCAGGCATTCGGGCAAACAAAAAGGCTTTTAAAGATAGCTATCGCAGAGATATTGTGACCCAGCATACGAAACCATTCATCGTTGTCAGCTGGGGATTTGCTTTATTTTTCAAACCCTTTCTCCCCTCTCTAATTCCTCCCTATAAAGTGTTCGCCCCTATTGTGAACACAGCCTTTGGGGTTCATCCGCCACTTCCAAACCCGCTCTTACAAAACCGATACAACTGACCGAGCGCAATATTATTGGTGCCAGATTTTGCATCCATTTCAAAGACTTATCTGAACAGGAAAACCTCCTCGCAACTCAGCGCATTGACTTAACGTGGATATTTTGTTTAGAGAAAAAACATAAACAAAAGCCCTACTCAAAAGTGAGACTGAGATAACGAACTGAAATTAATCTTACCTGTGAAGAAGTACGTTGAGGATTTTAATCCGAACATGTTCCTGTTTAACACATCTCTGTCATGGTGAAGAGAAAAATAACCCTGAGGGAGATTTTTTAAATTAATTGCGGGTGGTGGTTGGGGGGGGGACAAACTTGATAATTCTACGAATAAAGCATTCGTGAGATCTCTTTGCAAGCGAGCGACTGCCTATCTCGCAAGGTACACACAGCAATGAGCAGAGAAAAGCCTTCTGCTGCCCTCTGAAGTCAGCTGGAGGTCCCCAATATATACACACACACACACACACACACACACAGAGGCAGATAGACATGGAACACACACAAACAAGGAAGGAACAGAATGATGCGAGTAGCCAAATGTAGACTCACTAAAGAGGACTCCCCCTTCTCCCACTCCTCGCTGTTTGAATGAGTGGATGGTAATGGTCAAAGACTGAGGGGAGGGAGAGAGGGAGGGGGAGCTTTCAAACTCTGGGAGACATCAAACTACCACGCATAAAAAAAGGAGCCCCTGCTGGGCTAAGGTCCTAGAGGGAAAACAAATACATAATGAACCCGCTCTTTCTGCACAAGATTCCTCCCGAACTAGCTGCAGGTCAAACTCTTAAAACAGTAAGGGAGCTGGGCTGCAGCCGAGACTGTATTTTGTCACCACTCTCTGCTTTCCTCCTCCCCCCACCCCCCAAACACAAACACACACACACACGCCAAACCTGACTCAGTGAGATGTGCGGCTGATAGACACCCACATAGCACCAGGCAATGTATCAATATCCTGCTGTTCCCCCAGCCTGGCTAGTCTTTGCCTTGTTGATACTGGGACGGCTTGCTCACCCCCACCTCAGCCACTTCCTCACAAAGTGTGTGTCTGCGGGACCAGGGGAGGCACACACGCAGTTAATCCAACTCTCCTCCCCACCCCCCCAGCCTCTTTCAGCTCTTCCAGCCTCACTGCCCTCGCCACTTCACGCATTCCCCGTTCCCCACACAACTGTACTTTCCACCTCCTCTGTGCTGAATCCAACACGCCCAGGAGTGATTCAGGGAAACGACCTGAGGATCTAACCATGTTTCTTTTTCCACACAACACAAAAAAAGGAGGGAACGTGCAATCCCACCTCTCACCGCACACGCACACACTTTCCTTTCTCTCGCCTCCAGAATTTGAGGCTTCACTCAAGAGGTCAGGAAACAACCAGCTTGCAGCGGCCCTGAACCGCTGACCCTGTGCAAGTAGAACTCTGAGAGAGCAGGTAATGAACTGATCCCTTTGGAGGCCCCGGGAGACACCAAGTCCTGTACAATCAAAGCTCTGTTTGATTTACAGCAGGGGAGTTAGCAGACTCCTAGGAAACCGTGAAGGAAACACTGGGCAGATGTCCAGGACTGTAATAACCCTCGGATGCACTCTTCCCCTCGAATCCTGTAGTTAAGAAGTCTCCGAGTTAGAAAAACAGTGGCAACTGATGCGTGACATCCCCCTCAAATGTCATATTGCATTACTTCATCCGCAATCTTGACTAAAGCTCTGTGTTTAAGAACTTTCTTAAGCGTTTGCTTTCTCCTGCAGGTATTCGTGAATGAACTTAGTATGCCTAGCAGTACTTTAAATCTAGTTACACAAGGCTTCTAAATCTGTTTTGATTTAAAACGACAAAAATATCCAAGAGGTTAACTCAGACGTCCTTCGTATACTGTTGAGCGCATGAAAACGTTCGTTTGTTATGAATTCAAGCCAATGCAGTACTGCATGGATTCCAATTAGTTCAAATATTTTTAATATAGATTAAATATGAAGACCCACACCTCACCATTTTTAACACTGCACTGTACGTACCCTGTGTATTTTGTGATTCCTATCAGTAATACAACCGGAACTTTTTTTAAAATAAAATGCTATATTTGGCAGCAACTTATGCACTGGCATAAAATCAAAGATTCCAAAATATTTTAAGTAATAAAACATTCCAAGGGCCTTTGCAGACACGTTATAAGACAAAGTTAATGGCACCAGTTACATGAGATGGCATTAAGTGAAGTGACCAAAAACTTGATCAAAGAGGTCAGGTTTTGGAATAGTCTTAAAGGATAGAAAGCCAGGTGGAGAGGGTATTCCATAGAATCATTGTATTCCTACAATGTGGATGCAGTCCATTTGGCCCATCGAGTCCACACAGACCCTCTGAAGAGCATCCCACCCAGACCCAACACCCTACCCTATCACCCTGCATTTCTCATGGCTAACCTACCTAGCCTGTGCATCCCTGAACACTATGGGCAATTTAGTGTGGCAAGTCCAACTACCTGCACATCTTTGGACTGTGGGAGGAAACCCACGCAGACACGGGGAAAGTCTGCAAACTCCACACAGGCAGTCGCCTGAGGGTGGAATGAAACCTGGGTCCCTGGTGCTGTGGGGCAGCAGTGCTAACCACTGAGCCACCGTGTTGTTCCAGGATAGGCAAATGAGGGCACGACCACCGGTGGTGGAGTGATTAAGATCAGAAATGCTCAAGAGGCCGGAATTAAAGCAGAGCAGATGACTTGGAGGGCAGTGGGCTTGGAGAAGATTTTGAAGATATAAGTAGAGGTAGAGAGTTGTTAAAAAAGATACAAATTTTAAAATCAAAATGTTGCTTGATTACGAGTCAACCTAAACTGGCAATTAGTGGGGAGGCAGTGGTGTAGTGGTAATATGATGGGACTAGTAATCCAGGACCTCAGGCTGATGATCTGGGGTTTAGGTTTGAATCCCACTCTGGTAGATAGTTTAACTTTAACTTCAAAAATCTGGAATAAAAAGCCAACCTAATACTGACCATAAAACCATTGATAGTTGTTGTAAAAGCCTATCTGATGTCCTTTAAGGAAGAAAATCTGCCATCCTTACGTAGCCTTTCTCCTTGGTGACAGTGTAAGGGAGCTGTGTAGTGGGCTTTGTTTCAGAATCAGAAGAAGGTGAAAAATTGAGAATTGAAAGAAAGTGGCAGCAGAGTGTTGAAGGAGCAAAAGTGGAGACCTTGGTTCACTGATTGCTTTCCTGAATCACAGGGATGTTGGTTCGAGTCTCTATGCTGCTCAAGTGCTGTGTTTTCAGAATCGCTGCCTTCTAGATGAAATGTTCATTGAAGGCTCCACTGGTCATTGTAAACTGTCCCATTGCACTGTTTGGAGAAGAACATGGTGGATCTCCAGGTTCTGGTTAACTTAGGGGTACAGGTTCATAGCTCCTTGAAAGTGGAGTCACAGGTAGACAGGTCGGTGAATAAGGCTTTCAGCAAGCTTGCTTTCATTGGTCAGAGCACTGAGTACAGGAGTGGGACATCTTGTTGCAGCTGTACAAGACATTGGTGAAGCCACATTTGGAGTACTGCGTGCAGTTCCGGCCACCCTAATATAGAAAGAATATTATTAAACTAGAAAGACTTACTTGGATGCTACACTGGAAGGTCTGAGTTATAAGGAGAGATTGGATAGGCTGGGACTTTTTTCCTTGGAGTGTGGGAGGCTGAGGGGTGACCTCATAGAGGTCTATAACATCATGAGAGGCATAGATAAGGTAGATAGCCAACAGCTTTTCCCTATAGTTGGGGAGTCTAAAACTAGAAGGCATAGATTTAAAGTGAGAGGGGAGAGTTACAAAAAGGTCCAGGGGGCAATTTTTTTCACACAGTGGGTGGTGAGTATCTGTAACAGGCTGCCAGGGATAGTGCTGGAAGCAAGTAAAATTTCGTCTTTTAAAAAATATTTAGACAGGTACAGGGATGGGATAGGTATGGAGGGTTATGGATCAAACGCAGGCAAATGGGACTAGTTTAAATTGTGAAAACCGGGCAGCATAGGCAAGTGGGCCAAAGGGCCTGTTTCCAAGTTGTAGACCTCTATGAATCTATGACTCTGTGGTCCAGCCCACGGCCGATTCCAGACCCCCAGCAATGTCCTTGACTATTAACTACCCTCCTGGCCATTAGGGATGGTCAATAAATGCGTGTCTACCCAGTAATCCCCACATTGGTTTTTGATAACGCTCTTGATTAAAGTATAATTTTTTTCCTTACATTGATATCTGACATCATGCATCTTTTGCATTTTTGGAGTTGAAATATTGGCATGTCTGTAATGCAGATCACTGTGCCATTGATGTTGACCTATTTTCTTTATTTGTTCTTTATTAAACATTTAGGCATCACCAGAAAAACCTAAATTTGCTGCCTATCCTAATTTCCATTGAACTGAGCAGGTTGCTGGGCGCAGTATGAGCCAGTCAAACAGGTGTGAGTCTGGAGTCACATACCAGGCAAGGATGACAAATTTCCTTCCCTGAAGGACCACACTGGTGTATACAACAATTGGTGATAATTTTATGGTGACCATTCCTGAGATACCATCCAATTCTTGATTTTTAAAATTGAACTTAAATTTCACTGCTGCCTGTAATCAAATCATAGTATTCCTACAGTGCGGAAAGAGCCCATTTGGTCCATCAAATCTGCACTGACCCTCCAACAAGCATCCCACGTAGACCTAGCCCCTGACCATATCCTCACAACCCCGCATTTACCATGGCCAATCCACCTAGCCAGCGCATCCCTACACCCTACATGGCAATTTAGCATGGCCAATGCACCTAACCTGCACATCTTCAGACTGTGGGAGGAAACCGGAGCACCCAAAGGAAACCCACATAGACACGGGGAGAACATGCAAACTCCACACAGCCAGTCATCCAGGCTGGAATTAAACCCAGGTCCCTGGCCCTGTGAGGCAACAGTGCTAACCACTGAGTCACCGTCTCATTCAGTGTGCCATCATTTCTCTAAAACTCAAAACATCATATTATGTATTTATGGATTAATTGTTGCAATTATTCCTTCGTTTTAGAATGGAAGCATAGTGGGCTTTTTCAAAATTAATAAATGAAAAGGATTTACCTCATTCATACCAGCCTCTTTAAAATGCAGGCAGCTTACATAGATTCAATATTGGAGTCATAGCTATATAGTGGTAATGTGAACGTACTATCAAGCCAGAAGCTAATGGTGTAGACATTGGTTAAAATACCACCAAGATAGCTGTGAATAAAATCTGGAATTCGAAGCTAGTGTCAACGATGATGACAATGAGATTATCTTGATTATTGTAAAATCCTCTGGTTCACTAACATCCTTTAGGGAAGGAAATCTGCTGTCTTTACTTGGTTTGGCCTGTATGTGATTCCAGACCCACAGGTGTGTGTGTGTGTGTGTGTGTGTGTGTGTGTGTGTGTGTGTGTGTG